CGGCGCCCCGGGGCGGCTTTTGCAGCGGGGCGCGCGCGGGGCTGCGTCCTGATTGCGCGCGCGGGGGCTCTTTCCCGACCGCCGCGGGGGGCCAGGGGCGCTTTCTCTCGGGGCGGCGCGGCCCCCGGGGTGGACGCCGGGCGAGCGGGCGGGCGGGCTGCCGCGGGGCCGAGGCAGCGCCGAGACGGGCCGGCCCCCTGCGCCGCGCTGCCGCTCCGCCGCGCCTGCAGAGCCGAGCAGAGCGGGCCTCGGGACCGCCGGGGGCCGCTGGAGAGGAGGTCCGCGCGAGGGGCGCGTTCCCCCCAGGCTCGCCGGGCCCCTCGGAAGGGCGTCATGTGGCCCCGCACCGTGGCCGGCCCCTGTGGGAACCGCACAGACTGGACGGCATGCAACAGCACCCTCCTGCCCGTGCTCCCCAGCAACCTGGGTGCAGAGACAGGCTGCCTTCAGACCTGGAGGTTTGAGAGAGACTTTCTTGAGGACTAGCAGCCATCCAGAGCCGCCGCCTCCCTCAGGCATGTGGCCGCCCCGCTTTGAAAGCCACCCACCCTGGTGCCACCGGGGTGGAACCCGGGCCTCCCCAGATGGCGCGTTGCGCCGTGCGAACCGGCCGTTCCTTCGCTCCGCCCTGGATCTCCCGCGCGTCAGCCCCCTGGATGCCCCCCTTGCGGGCTGCAATTAAGACGGGGGGCAAAAGGGCTCCCACCCCGCTCTCCACTCCGGGAATCATTTTGTGCACCTCCGTCCGGGCTCCCTGTGCGGCTTCTCCCGTGCACCAGGAAGGCCAGATCTATTCCTGAGCCCTCGGACAAGGCTTTGCCAGCGGGATGTAACTGGATCCGTCCTCGTCCTTCCTGCCTCTGACAGTATGGAAAAACCACTGGAGCCAAGCGAGGTTCCCTTTCAGGAGCACCAGCACAAAACTCTTAGCCAGCATAAGAGTTTTGGCAGGGACACCAGAAAAGGGGGGGGGGAGCAGTTCCTCCGGTTTGCAGGCCTTTGAAAGCCAGCATTAAAGAGATGTTAAAGTATTGGAGAAAATCAGGCGGGGGGCAGCTTCTCTAGCCCCCTCCTGGCTTCAGGCCTGTGGCAGCTGCTCGAGGAATTGGTGTACTTGACCTTTGGTTCAGGATGGAGAGGCGCAGAAGAATTTTGCAGACCTGCTGATTAGATCCGTGTTGGATCCAATATTGGAAGGGTGCATGTGGGAGGCAGAGATCCTGTTTTAATGCAATTTTGGAAGCGATGATATAAAAAAAGTTTGGGGGTGTCATTGGGTTGGTGCCCTTGCAGCACAATGCAAAGGCTCAGTGCCTTTGGGACCCCCCACCCCACCCCCGGGAGAAATGCATGCACCTTGGGGCACAACCCTTGGGCTGTCGGGAGATGTAGGACCTTCTTTCTGTCTGAACATTGTGTCCTTAGATGCCAGTCATGTCTAGACTTGGGAGTTAGTCCTAGTGAGCAAAAGATGCGGTTGGCCCTTCACAGCCAAAGAATTCTGTGCAACTCGCCCTTAGATTTCTTGGATGGGTAAAGGCAGAGGATGGAAAGGAAGGCCAACCAAGAGGTGGGTGGACCCTGCGAAGGAAGCCACTTCCTCAGGTAGACAAGGACTGAGCAGGCCTGTTGTGAACAGGGCCTTCTGGGCAGCTTCCGTTCACGGGGTCGCTATTAATTGGAGATAATTCGATGGCACGTACCAATGCCCCTTGCTTTTCTGAGTGGGTGAGGCAGTCTAGGCTGTGCTCGGAAAGGCCGGGCTTTAAAAATAAGGCAAAATGTGTGTTAGAGAATGAGGGGGAGAAAGTCTGGTTCATTCGTTCTGCTTTTCTCTCTCAAGTATGTTGTACCAGTCTTGTGTCCCCCGTGTTGCAGCTGTTCATCTTTTGCCAAAACATTGCTCTCGAAATGTGCTAGGAACAGTGTACGCCAACTCAGTTGCCATGGGGGTTGAGGGCTGCTCTCCCGCATTTGAACATGTCCCTCCGCCAGGTTGACGTGAGATATCTCTGGTATGAGTTCAGTCTTGCAGCCTGGCCTTGCTCCCTGCTTGCCATGGGAGCCCAGGGTTCTGCTGATAAGGAGAAAAGTTTGAAAAGGGAGCCTTGCAAAGGGAAGTCAGAGATAGGCTGCTTTGGAGAAAAGGGGCGTCTTTGCGCTTGTGTGAAATGAGCAAAGAGCTGCCTTGTGGCAGCCTTCGTACCTTCGCAATTTCTCTCTGGTAAACCAGCAATTCCATTTTTGTGCTTTGAGTATCAGAACTTGGTAGCCGAAGAAATGCCACGGGCATGTGCATTGCAGGGCCACAGGGTATAGTCTGAAGTGTAGTACAGACATACAAAAGATGTTTAAAAGGATGCAGGTTTCTAGCCCTCATGACTGGGAAGAAAAAATGGGGAAAGCCTCAGCAGTGTATTATGCAAGATCAGAATGAAAAGGGAAATTAGGATGTGGTTAATTTAGCTTAAATCTGGCCTTGTAGATTCTGAATCGCTTCCTACGTCCTCCATCTCCTTTCCCGTTTTTGCAAATGGCATAAAAGCTCAGGTTTCCTCCATGAATATTTTCTAGAGAGGGTGGCCATCCTTGGTTTTGCCTTGAGGCGTCATACAGAAAAGAGCATCTTTTTCTGGCATAGAAGGCCTTTTTGATCCAAGGTCTTCCGTGGCAGGCGCTGCTTACGTGGCATGTCGGGGAAGCTAATTGTGCAGTCTAATGATACGGCAGCTGCCTGCAGAGCGAGGAAGGACCACAGAGTTGGGTTTCTGATGCTCTGAGCCACTCCAGGTTGATTTATGCATTTTCTGCTCTGCCCATTCATTTGGAGAAAGCTTTGTGGAAGCATTTTAACCGCCCACAGACTGAGGATGTCTTGGAGGGAAAACAGGCACTGTCCGCATGTTCATACTTAAAAGAATGATTGTGCACAGCTTCATTTGTGCTCATATTTAATGAGTAAAAAATGGTAGCTGGTTTTCTAAAGGGCGAATTAAAAATTTGCCGTTGAAATGAGATCCCAGGACTGGTGACCCCAAATTTAACAGTTTGCATCCCCAAAGCACTGTCGAGTTGGGTTAAAAAGAGGCCATTCTAGCAATGGTAGAAGCATTTGTTCTTCCAAATACATGACCCCAAACCCGGGACTAAACCTGAGATATTCCGCATTGAAAGCAGGCCTCTACTGCTAAGCGGTAGCCCCGCCCCTCCATGGCTGACCCCAGCCATGTAGTGCTTTGGCTCCACCCACTTTCCACGTTGTGCTAGATGGGAGTGGGTGTGGCTATGCAAAACAGTGTGAAGCGGCTGCAGTAATTGGACGGCGAGTGTCCATTCCTGTTTGCAGCTTGAAAATTTCAGAGGTGCTATCGTGTTTGCCTCTGATTGGCTCTCTCCGGTTCCAGAACAATGAGGTCTAGAGAGTTGCTCTCCTCAGTTAAAGAGCATCTGTAAACCCCAATGGCCCATCTGGCTGGCCCCTACAATTCTCACCCTCCACCTCGGTCAGTATAATTGTAGACGTGCTGCTTTTCTGTTCTGAAAACAACTCACGCAGGACCTTGAGGGAACTACCTTATTTATCTGTTTTCTTTCAGAATGAAAATGACAAACGTTGACCACACTAAGAGAAAGTTTCCAGGTATCTTTAGCAAAAAAAAGCCACTCTGTTTGCCACATCACACATTCCAGATGGGTCAGAAACAATTTCTGGGGGAGACTGTGTTGCTCTGAAACAGCCTGAGCCGTGGGGAAGGGCCTAAATTTTGAAGAGATGCCCAGTGCCTTTCTGCCCCGGCCTTTCTGCCCCAGCGCGTCCCAGAGAACGTACGGGGTGTGTGCTCCGTTGGAGCAGAAAAGGCCCATCTCCGCGGCCAGCCAGGTGTCCCCTGGAACATCGGGAGCAGGGCTTGGTGGTAGAGGCCTTCCCCTTGCGTTTGTTTCCGAATTCTGGCCCTCATCCACTGACTCGCGTCATTCACAGCTCTCCCTGCGATTGTCGTTCTTTTTTTCCTTCTGTGAGGAAGCTTGCGTGCTCCATTTTATCCCGCGAGGCAGGTCAGATGAACGTCTGCGAGTGCCCACAGTCACCCAGGGCTGCCTGGGGACTAGAAGCTGGACCTCCGGGCCCCCGGTCCAGCACTTCCCACCAGCCCGGCTCTCCAGTGCCGTCATTCCTTCTGGCTCGCAGCTGCTATGCCCAGCCAAGGGACGTCACCCACCTCCTCATGCGCTTCTCACAGTTGCTGTGTTGTATGCGGGACGTCCTACCCCGTTGCGTAATTTGACTCTGCCTTCTGCAGCCCGATGCCCTTCCTTGGCCGTGCCGGTCAGACCACACGGTCCAGTGCATTTGAAGGACGGCAGCTTGGAGGAGGCGAGCCGACGTCTGCCTCAAGGCTTAAGCCGCAGGGCTTTTGGCCTCCCGCTGCAGCCACGCCGGCGACCCGCACCCCCTGTCCAGCACCTTTCTGTAGATACTTGGTGCCAATTCGCAGCTTGGGGAGCCGTGGCATTTTCTTAACTGCTTTAAGGGAACTGAGGCAGGATAGAATACAGAGGATCTTCCCTCTTCTTGGCTGTGGTGCTGTTAAGACAGATATTTCTCCGTATTGCAGCCTCGAAATCCTGGCTGATTATATCCTTCTGTTCCCCCAGTGCAGAAATGTGTCCCATTGGTAGCATCCCTGGTAAATGATTATGCTTCTGTCAACTTTGCACGCCATCAGCTCCGAGCCGAAGGAAACTTCCTGGCTGCAGACCATGGAATGGAATTTGGAGGTCCGCTTGCAACCTTCCATGTGTATGGCCCACAGCTCCCATCAGCCTGAGCCAGCATAGCCAGTGGTGAGGGATGATAGGACCTGTAGGCCACAACTCCTGCATGAATCTTGGAAACTTTGCTTTGGGAATAGACTTCTAACTTCACACCCCTTGCTTTTTAATGTTACCTTTCCCTCCCTGTTCTCACCATTGCAAAAGGCTCAGCGGTTGATGTGACATGAAACTATCATTCACCTCCGCTGTGGAAGTGCTGCCCTTTTGAGAATGTGATTGTGGAGGGGCTTTTCCACGGTGAGTCTGCCTACGTGGCAGAGCGGCTCTTCCGGAAGGAAATTTTGGGAGCTGGCTCCCCCCTCCCCCTGCGCGATTCCCGTCCCCGGCTCCTTCCGCTGCATGCATGGAACTTCGCTTAGGTCCCACCCTTGGCGCGTTGCCCCCAAATGCCGGCTGTCGGGAGCTTGGCAACCACCCAGATAGACTCATGGCGGAAAAATGCACATTGAAAACAAGCGCCAAGGGTTTTGTACGGACAGATCCTGACGGTATTATTTAGAGCGGTGCTTGTAATTCCACAGCTCCCTTCCTCCTGCAGGGTGGCAACTCACTTTGTGATTGATTTTGAGCTGAGATGGGCAAAGTGTCTAGCAATGACTCTTTCCAGGGGTTCATTTCTGTAGGGAGCGGAGGGCTCGCGAGGGCTGCCCTCGAATGCCCTCGGCCCTTTCCGCTCGCTGCTTCCTCCTGCCCAGGTTGCAAAGAGGCGCGCTCCCCGCTGTTGGCAGCCGGTGCTTTAGTTCCAGTGCGTCGCCTCCAAGTAGTGCTGTGTGATACCAGGGTGTATCCAGTGTTTGTCTTACTTAAGAGTAGACCCACTGAAATAATATTGACGCCACCATTGCTGCGGGTCTGCACTTAGGTGGACTAAAACTGGTTGCAAGCCATAGGACACTATAAGCAAAATATTAAATAGTAGTTCTTGAATGCATAGCAGTTATTGGCGGTGGCTATTTCATTTTGCTCAGAACAGCTTCCTCCCCCCCCCCCCCCCGAGCTGCAAGACAAGGAGCATGGAATGCTCTGGCCATTCCCCCCTCGCTGTCCCAGGAATTCCCTTAAAATTCATTTTGCAATTCTCCTTGGACAGATTTTGGCTTTCTGCTAGTAAAACAGCTCCCCTCCCCTTCAGCATGCAAAGTTGGTAATTCCCAGATGGATGTAGCACGAGAACCTCCGGGTGCCCCTGAGCCTTAGCTACTGGGCGGTATATAAATGAATTGGACAGAAAGAGGGTGTCTGCTGCCCCGTTTGAGTCTCTGCTCTGTCCTCCCAGTCTGCCTTCCACCCAACATCACGTGGAACGTAAGAAGGGTACTTTATCTATTGGTTCAGACTCTTTGTCCATCAGCTCAGTGAGGTCTCCTTCAACAGGCAGTGTTTCTGCAAGGACTGCCAGGACGATCTTATTTATTTATTTAAAACATTTTTATGCCGCCCCCATCGCAATGAAGCCTCGGGGCGGCTCTCAACTATCTTGCAATCTTCCGCTTGCAAGGCGTGCCCTCGGTCCCCAAGCGCCCTGGAAAGTGGCACATAGGACTCTTTGGAGCATTCAGTTGCTGCTGATGCAGAGACATGACACCCACAGACGAGGCTGCCTGTCGCCTCACTGATGGGAGTCCCTGCTCCGGGGTTAGCAGCCCGCCATCACATTTTTAATCCAGGGTGGAAAGATTGTGATGGCTTCATTGCACCAAAAGTCTTGGAGAAGACTGGGCTGCCTATCCAAACTCCCTGGGGTGCAAGAGCGCCTCTCTGTGGTCGTGCAAGGAAGTCCCAACCTGCTCCTCTGGATAAAGCCCCACTTTGCTAGAGATTTGCTTGAAATTGCCCTCTGCAATACCGCAAAAATTATTGAAATCGGATGCATCTCTGAAAGAGCACAAGTTAGAATTTCTGTCGAGCAACGGTGGGACCCTCCAGCTTTCCCCCACTCCTCTTATCTCTTCTCATGAGGTTTATGGTGGGGAGGGGGAGAAGGAGGGACAATTAGCTGCAAGCCAGGGGCTGATGGCAGGTTGCTCCCCATGAATTTCTCTAATCCCCTTTTAAAGGCGTGTTTTCCAGTGCTCCTCTTCCCATCCTGAGGCCGTGAGTTCCACCGATTAAACTAGCTGCACCTGGGCAAAACTTAGCCTGGCATTCACTCCCAGTGAGCATCCCTGGGTGCCACAGAATCCCACCAAAGAGTGAATGAGAAACGTGTTCTTCAGCCACACTGTAAACCTTTAACGTGCCCTGTTCTTCTCCCCCTGACTAGCTTTTTTCCCAACAGAAAAGTCTTGATGGGGACGTGTGCCCCGTTGTGGACTTTTTCGGCATCCGTAAGAGATCCTTTCTGATGCCAGGTGCCTGGGTGTGCAGGGTGGCATAAAGGCATCATGCTCTTGGCCCTGCAGGTGGGCACCAGACTTTGGAAGGCCGTGGCAAGACCCTTGGTGGGCACCCCCCCGTAGATCCCCCCCACCCAGCTATGGCCACCAGCTGCTGCACTCCTCGGCTGCCTCCTCATCCCGGCTCCCCCTTGCTTTCTGGGCAGGCAGAGCCAGGGGTCAAGCGGGCCGGGGCCTCCCCGCACCCCCGTCCCCTGCTAGGCCACGGGTCCTTGGCGGGGGCCTGGCCATGCCCACCCTTGGCGCCAGCCCCGGCGGTGCCTCTCTGCGTTAGCACGTGGGACAGCCTTCCCAGCGCGTTCCCCCCCAGCCCCATGCTGGCCGGGCCCGTGGGAGGTGCCGCCCGGCCTGTCCGGAAGGGAACGGGCGCGGGAGGTGGGCCTGGTTCATGGACGCCCCCGCCTTGCTGACGGGCCGTGTGCTTCCTCGCAGGCTCAGGTTGGTCCCGGTTCCCGTGGAAGCCATGTGGTGGGCCAGGCTCCTCGCGCTCGGCGCGTTGGTCGCCGCGGTGCCTCCCGAGGACAAGAAGGCGGCCGGGAAGGGCCCCGCGGCCGAGCACAAGAAGCTGAGCGACAGGGCGACCGCCCTGGCGGACCGCAGCGCCACGCTGGCCTTCAACCTCTACCACGTGATGGCCAAGGACAAGAGCATGGAGAACATCCTGGTCTCGCCGGTGGTGGTCGCCTCCTCCCTGGGGCTGGTGACGCTCGGGGGCAAGGCCTCCACCGCCTCCCAGGCCAAGGCCCTGCTCAGCGCCGACAAGCTGAACGACGACTACGTCCACAGCGGCCTCTCGGAGCTGCTCAGCGAGGTGAGCAACGCCACGGCCCGCAACGTCACCTGGAAGATCGGCAACCGCCTCTACGGCCCCAGCTCCATCAGCTTCACCGACGACTTCGTGAAGAGCAGCAAGAAGCACTACAATTACGAGCACTCCAAGATCAACTTCCGGGACAAGCGGAGCGCCCTGAAGTCCATCAACGAGTGGGCCACCCAGACCACCGACGGGAAGCTGCCGGAGGTCACCAAGGATGTGGAGAAGACGGACGGGGCCCTGATCGTCAACGCCATGTTCTTCAAGCGTAAGTGGAAGGGGGTGCGGCTCAGGCTGGACGTGTGGGACCGCTTTCAGTCCCAGGGGCACAGTTCACTTCTCCGAAGCGCTCTGGGCGGGGTGAAGGGGACTTCCAGTGGTGCGCGGGGCCAAGGGGATGGGGCCGGACTGCCAGCGGGGAGTAACTCCAAGCTTCTGCTGCCCATATGTAAGCCTTAGGACAAGCATTTTTAATGTCAGGCTGGGGAAGAAAACCACAGAAAGTCGGGAAATGAGCTGAAGAGTGGCTGCTTGGGAAAGGGGGTGTCAGACAGAGGAACCCAGAAGAGCCAGATTAGGATCCCAAGCGGGCCAGGGCTGGGCGAAGCATCTGAAGTTCTCCTCTCCTGTGAAGCCAGTGCTGAAGGACAGCTCGGCCTCAAAGGGTCAAACGCGGTGAAGGCGGGCAGGTCTTCTGGGCTGCAGCTCCTGCCGTCCTTGGCCGTTGCTCACGCTGGCTGGCATCGTATGGGACTTGTAGTCCAACCAGCTGGAGTGCACCAGGAGCTCGCCCTGGTGTGAAGCCAAGCCCTGCTCGGTCTCACCCAGTACCAACTGGGAGACGCTGGACGGTGAACCTGGGGCTTGCTGCATGCAGAGCAGGGACCCTGCCGCCTGTGTCCCGCTCCCGGTTCCTTCCCGCAGCCGGCTGGACCCCTCCCAGCGGCCTCCCGTTAGCGCCACCCTTCTTGTGTCCTCAACACCCAGCAGCCACCCACGCACCTCTCTTCAGCGAGGGCCTCTTGCTCCGTCCCGGCACGACCAGAGCCTTCCGCTTGTGTCCAAGCCACCTGCCCCCTTGCAACATCACAGGGATGAGAAGGACGGCCAGGGGACACAGGCTGGTGGCTTCTTCAAATATCTGCTGGGGAGACATGGCTTGGAGCAGGGGCGGGGGGGGGGGGTGTTTAGCCCCTGGCGATTGATTGCCTTGTGGCAAATCTTAGGGTTGCGGGGAGTCTAGTGGGAATAGAGCAGAGGTGCACGATGGCAAGAACCCCCCCAAACACTCGCTCACCTTCCTGCTAGCAACTCCGTTTCCTTCATCGCTTCCCTTTGCTTTTGCAGCCCACTGGGACGAGAGGTTCCATCACAAAATGGTGGACAATCGCGGCTTCATGGTGAGCCGCTCCTACACGGTTGGCATTCAGATGATGCATCGCACAGGTAAGCGGGCAGGTGCTGCAGCCGACTCCACCCTTGGGTGAATCGCCAGGCTCCCAGGTGGGCAGGAGTTGGCTCACCTCCCGGGAAGCGACCGTGTGCCCCCAGACACTTGAGTTGCCGAGAAACCAGCTGAGAGACTTGCTTGGGGTGGGTAAAACTGCTGTCCTCCTTCGAGGAGAGCTGCTGGAATCCAGCTCGCCAGGACTGGCTTTAACTCTCACTGCTCTCAGTGGCTCTCCTCTTGAGGAAGACTGGAGCGGGATCCAGCCCCTCGGTGTTCCTCCCCTGGCCTAGATGAGGCCCCAGGCAAAGCGAGAAAGCAGAACTGCTCCCGAAAGACTCGGTTCTGCCTTCCAGCGGCTGCCCTCCTTTGCCTGACACATCTGTCGGGAGCCAGCCCCCACCCCTTTAAAATCAACAGACTGGCCTTTGGTCAAAGCTCTTAATTGCTGGTGTACATTTGGCAACAGGCCAGCAAAGAATTTTCGAGCATGCAGAGTGGCTCATTAAACCCAAACGGAAAAGTATTTCCTAGAACCCTCCTGGGGCCACCTCTGCGTGCTTCCGAACTCTATGCCGGCCTCGGGTTGGCCAGCCCTTCTCTCTTAATGCCACGCCACGGGATCAAGCCAGACGACTCCGGCTCCACTCCCAGGTCCCCTGCTGGCACTTCCAAGCCCTGTCAGTTCCCAGGGTCGGGCCAAACACCTGGAATCAGTGGCCTTGAGCTAAGCTTTCCTCCTCTGCAGTCTCTGTCCACGCACCTCATTTCCCACGCCACTCCCTCCTTGTCCAAAGAGTCCCTCTGGCCCTGGAACACGTGCCGAGAACACCTGCCTTTTTCATTCCCAGTATCCTCCTTTGCTCTTCCAGTTAATCGTAAATCGCTCCTTTTTAAGGGGACTTTATATTCTGCCTTTTAAGAAGCAAGAATATTCTGCAACAGGGTGTTTCACATTGTGCTCCAGAAAAAATGAAAAGTTTACAACCATTCTAGATGGTAAAAGCTGGGCAGCCTTGCCTGCTTTTGCTTATTCCTAGTGATTTATTTTATCAGAGGGGCAGAAAAATTGGCACACTGAAGATGCAAAGCCGGGATGGGCAGCAGCCGGGGTTGAGAGACCAGCAGGAACGGTGGCAGTTTCCCGTTTGCCTGCTCCGGGGGCTAGAAGCTTAAGGGCTAGAAACATGTTGCCAGAAATAAATGGGCCACTTCCTGAGCATTCAAGCTGGGGGACCATTCTCAGAAGTGATAGGCCAGGACACCCAGTGCTGGTTTCCAAACGTGGCAGAGGCCAAAGGGATGCAGTGGATTCTCTGAACACCCCACCCTGCCCTGCCCAGCCGGACACGCAACTGAGTCTCAGGGCAACTGCGACCTGCACAAATCCCACTGCAGTCGGTGGGGCTGAAACACACCCTTGGGCACGGCTCAGCTTCCCTCCTCGGGCCTTCTCTGGCAGGAGGCTGCCTGCCCTCGCCCTCCTGCACGTGGATGGAGGGAGTTTGGGCAAGCACAATATCGCCTCACTTGCGTAGAACCGAAACCACAGATAAAACCCGCGTGCAGCTAGCAGTCCTGACATCGTCTGAGAACTCTTACACCGTGCTGAGAGCTTTTTGCTCAGCAGTAAAAGCTTAATAAATAAATAGCAGTCGCGATGCTCCTGCTATTTCCCGGCATCCTCCCTGACTGACGGGGTTCTGTCGGCTTCTCAAGGGTTGTACAAGTACTACAATGACGAGGAGGAGAAGCTGCAGATCGTGGAGATGCCGCTGGCTCACAAGTTTTCCAGCATGATCTTCATCATGCCCAATCATGTCGAGCCGCTGGAGCGGCTGGAAAAGCTGCTGACCCGGGAGCAACTGAAGACCTGGCTGGGCAAGCTGAAAACAAGGGCAGTGGCCATCTCCCTGCCCAAGGTCAGCCTGGAAGTCAGCCACAACCTCCATGTGAGTATATAGCGGCACGCCAGGCTTGCTTTGTCCTTGCGGGGGCCCAGCGCCCCCCAGGGGAAGAGCCTTGGCTGATCTCTTTCCCCTTTCAGCCCCCACCCTCTTGCTGCAGGGAAAGGGGTGGAGAACGTGTCTGAGGCTGGATTGGACCACATGGGTCCTGTGATGTGATGTCGGTGGGGATAGCCCCCCCTTTGGCTCTGCAGCCAAGCGACAAGCATGATCCTGTAACTGTGTATTCAGAAATGAGTTCCATGGAGTTGAATGGGTCTCCCTCCCAGCCAGGTGGCACGGCATTTTCAGCTTTGGACCAGCATCCGATGTGGGTGCCCATAACCCTCTGAAATTGTAGGATTATGGGCATCTGACGAAGGGTAGGAGGAATGTGGAACTCAGAATGGCCCATGTCCCTCTTGCCCTGAAATGTTTTCCCCTCCTCGTGAGGAGGAGGCTGCCGGGATTCTTGGAAGACAGAAGGGAACTCTGCACCCTCTCAGCCCCAAAGATGGACTTCCATCAGTCCCGAAATACGGATACACTCTGGGTCAGCATCCCAGCTTTGACCTGAAGCGGCTTTTCTGAACTTGCATCTGTGACTGCACCTTTGGGGCCAGCGCAGTGGCAAGGATGCCGAAGGGTTGTACCCTTTGCATGGGAATAATTACCTCCCCAATTAGACCTTCTTCTCGGCACCCCGCAAACTGTTGAGATCTCTTTATTTCTAAGCGCTTTTAGCCTTTTCTACTTGATTTTCTGCTGAATTGTTTATCTCACTCTTGGTTTTATCCTCCGAACTTGGTATCAGTCCTTTGAAGTGCCTCTTTTAAAAACTGGAAGTTACGTAACTTTATGCAGCTTGCTGTAACCCAGTTTGAGTTTATCTTAAAAGAGAGTGCTAAACTTTTGCACAGTGTCATAGGAAACAGAAACACTTCGGCAGATGCTGGATGACAAAAGTTGTAGGTAAGAGACCTGTGAAAGAGCAAATATTCCTAACCTCCCAGTGTGTCCGTTTCCAGAAACACTTGGCCGACCTCGGTTTGACGGAGGCCGTCGACAAAACCAAGGCTGACCTGTCTAAGATCTCGGGCAAAAAGGATCTGTACCTCGCCAGCGTCTTCCATGCGGCGGCCCTCGAGTGGGACACCGAGGGGAACCCCTTCGATGGGGACATCTATGGCCGGGAGGAGATGCGGAACCCGAAGCTGTTCTATGCCGACCATCCGTTCATTTTCCTCATCAAGGACAACAAGACCAATTCCATCCTCTTCATTGGCAGACTAGTTAGGCCCAAAGGAGACAAGATGCGTGACGAGTTGTAGCTCGTGTGCGCAGTGTTGTGTTGTCTTTGGGGGGTTTTTAAAAATGGGGGGTATGATGGCATATGTCTTATGAACTGGTGCTCTCAAGCCACTGAGTTTTACAGACTTTCTCCTGAGTAAGACTGCAGGAGATTGCATGAATGCCCGAGGTCATAACCGAGGGGGGTGGGGGGGGGTAATTCTCCCGAACGGCTCCACCTGCTACTTCCAAAGGCCCCTTTCCTTATTCCTCTCCTCACCGTCCTTCGCAAGATGCCTTTCTTTGTGTCACAGCAGTTAACTTGCGGCTGCAATTTGGCGTGTGCTTAGACAGAAGTCGCCTGAGTCTCGGGCAGCATGAAGCTGCTTGCAGGGGGAGTTCAAGACAGAAAAAAAGGACTTTACACAACATGAAATTTGTCACCACAAAATGGAGTGATGGCTACCAGTGACTTTAAAAGGGAATCGGACAAATTCACGGAGCAGGTGGTTATCCATGACTGCTAATCTGGCTGGCTGCGTGTGTCTTGCGCTCTTGGAGGCAGTGTGCTTATGCACACCGGTTGCTGTGGAACATGGGCAGGAGGGTTGTGCCACACAGCCTGCTTGTGGGCTTTGTGATGGCAGTTGGTTCAACACTGTGTGGACAGAACCCTCTTCTTACCATCTTTTTCTGTCTAAACATACCTCGGATTGTGCTCTGAGATCAAAGAGCCTAAAGATTGGTTATAAAATAGGAGATTCTGCTTAATTCTTCACTATCTGCTCTGAGTGTGGAGAAGGTGTATAAACCTCCATTCACAGATCACTGGGTGATGGATGAGATCTGGATGTGCATTTGTTAGCTGTGAACAAGTAATTTTGGGCATGGGGTGGAATATTAGCTCTCTGATCTGGTGATTTCTCACCTATGAAACCTACATTGCATTTGGAAGAAGAAAAGTGGATTCATTTTCAAAAATCCGTTCAGTCTTAGAAGAGCTGATATATTTTACCTCAACCATGTACCCATTTTTAGAGATAAACTGAAAGTTACAAGACAAGCATCATGGAAAAAAGAACCGGCTTCTCTGTTCAAGAAGCATGAGAGAGAAACCGTTTTGGCAGTGCCTGCACTCAAGTCAGCTCCATGTTCTGAGAGCAGCTCCACCTGGCTTTAGTGCAGGCGGGATGAATCGCCTTCCAGATGCCTCTGTAACAAGGCTAACATATTCAGTAGCAAAAGTCGGTTTCATTTATTAAATTTCCATACTGTCCAGTAGCCAAAGCTCTCTGGGCAGTTTCCTAAAATTAAAACCTATAAAAGATCCATATAAGGCATTCATATATACATTTGACCATACCCCAAAGACATCTCAATGCAGTTTTAAAGGAGCTGAAAAATTCAGGACACACTTAAAACCTTATCCTTTGCGGCTGAACGCCTGAGAAAAGCAGATGGGCCGTTACTTGGTGCCAAAGACGTGGCCCATGCTGGGGCCAGGGGGCCCTTGTTAGGCTGATTCTCCTTAATTGGGGGCAATCACCAAGAAGGCCCGCTTCCTTGATAGGGCCCTCAGGGCCTGCCTTGCAGGGGGTACCTGGAAGAGGTCCTTAGATGGTTCCTGTCATGCATTGCAGTCCAGAGCTGTGCAAAGACCCGTTTCCTCTCAGGTTCTTTTCTGATCTGCGCATGGGCCCTTAAAAAACCAAACTTCCAGTGTGTGGATTCGTCCTGTTTTTATTTACATCCACGTGCAGCAGGATGAAAGAGCTACCTGAGTACCAGAGGAGGGAGTGTGGCGCTTAGAAGGAAAGTGGCACTGGTGAAAAGGGCTTTGTCGGGGCGGCAGCGTTCAGGTGGGGAAGGGGAAGCCCTGGAGTGAAGTCACGGGCCTAGGGAAACCCTGTGCCAGGCTGGAGTGCCGCCTCGTGGCCTGTGAGGAGAGGGGAGTGCGGTTACAACCGCGTCAATCAGCCGTGCTACCTGAAGCCTCGGCCTCCTCTTGCAAGGCGAGGTGGCTTGTGGGACCAGAGCACTGGGCTGAACTAGTCTTGATATTTCCTATGTGCAAACTTCTCCCGGTTCCCTTGCTCATACCAGGTGGGGGACCCATAGTCTTCTGCCTGTGGCATTACAGTTCCCATCAGCCCCAGGAGGCACAGCCAGTGTGGTGGACAATGAGAGTTGCAGTCCAGCCATTCGAGCCATTCCAATGCCCTGAAGCAGCTGGGGTGGGGGAGCCCAGCTTCTATCCCCCATCAACTGTAGTGATTTTTGCTAGCTGGAAGGCGGTGGTGTTGGAGGGCGAAAAAATGGGTCTGGAGCAGGTGCAAGATAAAGCATCTTGCCCTCCCCTCCCCAGGAGAGCATCCTTCATCCTCAAAAGGGAATCTTTCCAGCTAGAGGGCAGTCTGGGCAGTTCTGGCAGCCGCAGGTAGTGTGAGGGAGCCGTCCAGCCGCCCGCTGGAGGTTGGGGTGCTGTCTTGAACTTCAGCGGGGCTTCCCAGGACCAGCTTGGTCTGGAAAGCGGCCAGGAAGCCCCAGACAGTCCAACAGGTGGAGAACAAACCTAGCAGAAGCTGCTATTCTGCCCAAATGCCCATGGCCCCGTGGGGTGTTCCACAAATGCCTGAAAATAGCCCGCCTAAGCTTTGCTTTTTCACATAGGCATTCACATTTGGTGGCAGAGACCTTCCAGCGCTGCCTCCTGCTTCTCTAGGCATCGCCAGAACTTTCCGGGGACAATGGGGGTTCCTTGGGATCAGTGGAAATCACAAAGCCCTGAATACATCCACTTGCAAAGACAGGAAGGCTCAGAAGTGCTCGTGGTCTTACCTTGACCTTTCGACTCACTAAGAACTTCTCTGCACAAGCAAGGCAAAAGTGGGCCAGTCATGATCAAATAGAATAGCTTCAAAAATGGTGCTTTTTTCCTTCACAGGATTTCTCTAGGACAACCTGCCCCAGGTGTATTCAGCTGCAATACCCATCATTTGGCGAATGAGCTGCTAAGTTCAGTGCCAGCATTTCTGGGGTGCGTTGGGGGGCAGTGAGGGTGCCCGAGCTGAACGGAGTAACTGAGTATTTCTCTCTCAACCCCGCTGCTGATGAAAGTATATCCAGAGATGAGTTGAGGCCATTCAAAGTAATTGCCCTTCCACATTTGTTTGAGACAGGTCACTAGCACCTTTGCTCTAGAACAGCCTTCCCAGAATTCCCTTCCAGCAGAGCCATTGAGTGGGAATTCTGGGTGTTGTGGCACAAATGTGTCTGGAAGGCACACGGTTGGGGAAGTCTGCTCTTGAAAGTGCCAGCTTGGCCAACTTTAAAGGATGACCGGATGAATTCAGAGAAAATTTTTATCACTGCCACTGTCTTCTCTGCTCCCCGTGTGTCCAGGACGGGCAGGGCTGCGGTGTGAACCAACATGGTTGTAACACTTGAGTCAGTGATATTTCAAAGTTGACAGTGAAGCACATTTAAGCATTAGTTGTTTACCACTCAGTGCCAAAATCCAATGTCTGCCACGCACATGTGCGCAACCGCAATTTGTGGCCAACATTCCTGGATGCTGAACCTTCCCCACTGCTGCGCTGGGTAGCTCTGGCTGCACTGCAAGGGCGCTTCAGAGAAGGCTGGGATGAAGGATCAGGGAAAGCAGAGACTGGGAAAGTGAGCACAGAAGTGGCATTTTGGGAGCCGCACGTCATGACGAAGAATGTGCCGTGTGCAGGAGACACCCAAGCAAGAAAAGGCGTATGGCCCTGGTGCTACTCCACATCGGAGGGCAATCCCGGTGGGGGGGGCGGGGGGGGGGGAGAGAGCCATGCAAGGCAGACTGTGTGAGCTTAGGAATGATTGGTGGTGGATGATGTGGGTGCTACGTGTTCAATGCCTTATTTTCTATTGCCACACCAAACTTTTGTTGTACAATTTTTGCAATAAAATATTTTTCACTGGATTGGTATTGCTCATCAAGCACTGGCAGAGCAGATTTGGAAGGCGCGCGGACATCATGCCCATCACGTGATGCAGAACTGCCCCCCCTTGGCAAGAAGAACCCTTGCAGACAGGCGCCACGTTCCCTTGGAGGTCCATGGGTCAGCGGTTTCAGGGCAGCCGGGCCAGGGTTACACAGTCCACAAGGCTGCCTCTCCTCCGTGCTCAAATGCAGAGAGCCTTTTCAGAGAGTGCCACAACCCCCCCCCGCCACCCCCCCATGAGCTCTGCCACAGAACAGCAGCCTGGAAGGACTGCACAGAACCTGCCAAGCCTCACCCACATAGATCAGAGCACAAAAGTGGTGCTTTGGATTTCTGGACATGCGGAGAAATTTGGAAGAACGGCACCAACGCTCTCACAAAATGGCTTCTATGGTGAGCCTGGCGGGTTGCAGAATGATCTCCCAAAGGGCAGACTGGGAAGCCTGGAAAAAGGCGCTTGCCCAGGAAGCGAGGTACCCAGGTGGGGTCTGAGCTTTAAAATGTTCTTTTAAATGGCAGCTTGTAAGTGCTCTTTCAAGTGCAAATAAAGCAGGCACGAGTGGGCAGGACCTCACCTTGGAACAAGCCTGGCTCCCAATAAATTATAAATAATTGTTAATAAAATTAGGCTGCATGAGTACCAAATCTGAAGAATCCAGGGGACCAGAACCACGAAGGGCTGCCTCCGATCGCCTCACTCCTACCCCTTCCATTTAAATACGACATTGTCACACACTGCCATGTGCAACGCTATAAACTTCTGTTGTGGGTCCCACTTACGAGCCAACCTAAGTGGGTTTTTACAGGGATTATGGCTGGCATCTCGAGGGCTCACAGATGGTCCCTAACTGCTCCGGTACAGTTGGCGCAGCTGCCACAACTTTCCCTTTAAAGGGCTTCAATTAAGGCTGAGGAGGTCCGCAAACAGATAAATTGGTAAGCCAAACGGTGCTGGTGGACAGCCAGTATGTGACCACCCGTTCGCTGGGATTATTCCAGGACGACAATATCAAAGGCGACTTCAGCACCATAAAGGCACCGGCAGGCTAAAAAGGACAGGGAAGGGGCAAGTGTCCGTCCTGAAATGGGCTCTTCTAGGACAGCAAGTTGACCCTAAAGGAGCACTTGGCTCCGCACGTCATACCCATAAAACGGTCTGTGGATCCAGCTACGCACCCTGCTGGGACTCAACGGCACCGGCTGTCCGAGATGATCACGATCAGATTTTAATATAATCTGGGGAGGGGGCTGAACAGGTATGCACGGGGGACAGCGGTGCAGTGGGGACGTGGGCCTGGAACAGCCCCAGACTAATGTGAGCAGGTAGCAAACGGAACCAGCCAGCGCCATGTTGTATTTTCTGATTTTATTAAGAGAATTTTTTTTTTACAATAAACTCTTCATCCTAGACCTCCGTAAACCTGCAATGAAATTAAAAAGCCACGTTGAGTAAGCAGGCGACCTCAGGACTGAAAATGGGTCTCTCCGGACGTCCTTTTGGTTTTTTGGTGGACAGTCTCGAATACGCAGGCAGTGGAAAAGCGACCGGCTTTCAGGACCGAGACCACCCGCGAGCATCGAGCTCTCGTAACTCGTCCAGGACAGCCTTCCTCACACCTTCCACCTACCACCTGTCCCAACCGCCTGGGGTTAGGGAAGGGCGATCCAGGTCACCCCAAAGGCCCTTTCCCGGCAACTGTGAGGGCGAAAGCGAAGCCGCTTACCCTTACGCCGTGGGCACGGGCTGCGGCATGGGGGGCTGCTCCGGCTTCGTGCCCTTCTGCTCAGAGATGGGGGTGGTGGGCAGGATCTCCTCCTTTGGCTCCACGATGCTGACGTGATCAGGCAGGGGCTTCTTGGGGCCTATCTTCCCGCTTGGGTCCCACGGCAGCATGATCTTCACTTTAATGCCCAGCACACCTGAGGGAGCGAGACAGCGGGGTCAAGTCGCGGGGCAGCTTTAAAGAGAGAAGTGGACGGCGCAACACGCCTCTGCTTTTGGCAGCCATTTGCGTCTGCGGCTGCACACAGCGCTCCCAACGCGCGGGCCGCGTGCCCACGAGCGCCTCCTCCAAGGGAGGCCGTTCGCTTCCCGGTGCTACCAGCCTGGTGCTCTGGTCGCTCTATGGGCTTCCCAGCTCCTGGTGAGCCTCCGTTCCCCCTTTCATCCAAGCCAGGAACTACAGACGGCACTTCTGCCGGTGCTGCTCACCCCCGAGCTGGGGAAGAAGAGCCGGCCGGCTTTGCCACGTGCGGACAATGCAAGGCAGGCAAACCCTCAACTGAGGCCCCGGGAGTGAGCAGGGCTGCAGGAGCTTCTTTTGGCTGGAAGTCGCGGCTCCGGAAAGATCCACAATCGGGACGGATGTACAGGCATCCTGACTGTGTGCCCCTGCCAGTTAGCATTCACGAATGGAGGGGGGAAGCTGGCACACTCTTGCATTTCACACTTGGAAGGAAAAAGACCCGCCACTCGGTGGACTGAATGTCTGCCTGCTTGGCTCACATCGACTGCATCTTCTGGAACCACTAAAGGCGCTTGGATGCCTGTTCAGACACAGGGACTGCTTAGATCAATGCAGCTCAGCATTTGAAATGGAAAGGCTAATCCCTTTTCTCTCCTCCTTGTATCCCCCCTTATTAAGGGATATGCTAATGATTACTGTTACTGATATTAGTTACATTTCACACGTACACCCCCTTTAACAGTTTTGCTTTTTTACTTGTCTGCAGTTATTACCATTGTGTTGCAGATAAGATCAAAAATGGCAAAAACATAGTTTGCCTTTAAGCTACTGATCAGGAATTGGGTTCCGAGCCTTCCTTGTTAGCAAGGCAGGCAGTGCAAGCCATGCTTGGTCGTTTGGATAAACCAGCAAACCATGGTTTAGCCTCAACAGAAGGAAAGGAAAGAGGGCAAGGGGGGAACCCCAAGGGCTGCTTCAGGGGAAGCTCTGGGGGCCACATTCTAGTGGGGTGCAGCCAAATTACCAGCATCTTTAGCATAAAGCTGTTCCAGCCACTCACTTTTCCAGGCTTAGGAGGAAGACGTCAAACTTTCAGGAGGGGGAAGGGGCATCCAAAACGCTAGGAGTGCCGAAGGATCAGCCCCTTCAGCAGAGCCTTGGGGAACTGCTCTGGGACCTCAGGCAGGCCCGACTGGTCCGCCAGAGCTGCGGTTCCCCAGCGGGGTGACGAAGCCAAGCTCTGCTTTGGCGTTTTGCCTGCACCAGCCGGGTGAGGAGACCAGGCAGTGCAAAAGAGCCAGAAGCGCTCTCCCTCCGGCACAGGCGCAGCTGCTTGCACGCGGCCGCCACACTCACCCTGCCTGAGGAGCACATGGCGCACGGCCGTGTCAACGTAGTAGTTGACGGGGTCCCCGCTGTGGATCATCAGGCCATCCACAAATTTCATGGACTTGGCTCTCTGGCCACGGAGCTTTCCGGACACGACCACCTCGCACCCTTTGGCTCCGCTCTCCATGATGAAGCGGAGGACGCCGTAACACGCCCTAGGAAGCAAGGAAGGCGCACGGGTGAGCTGCACAGGCGGCCCCGGCCAAGCACTTTCGACAGTACCCTGGCTCTTGTCCCGCACGGAGCCCAGGCAGCCTCTTCTCCATGTCAGCCTCTGGACAGCCCTGCGAGGTGCTTAGAAGAGAGCCAGAGACTGGCCCAAAGTTATCAAACTCTGCTGCTGAACCGCCAGGCTCCCGACTGCCAGGCTGGCACTCCACCCAGAACTCCATGCTGGCCCTAAGTGACCACTTGGGGTTATTTCAGCATAAGGAGGGAGGCCTCGGCGTTGGCTGGGCTCCCACCCCTTCGCACACCGCAACGCGCCCTTCTCAGACAAATGCCTCTTGATCATCCAATGCACAGGACACCTTTGCCGGGGCAGCGCACACAGTGCCACAGAACGTGGCTCTGAGCCGCCCACGCCGAGCAGGGAGGTGTCCGCTTCTGACTCGTCATCGTATCATCACTGAAGGGATTTCCGCCACTGAGAAAGTGTGGGGAGAGCAGAATCACAAAGGAGCGTAAAAATTGTTTCAAACAAGTGAGTTTTGGGTCAAGAGAGCTGTGCTACTGAATGGCCATAAAAACCAGGACCGGTGGTACAGGGAGTCCCCAGGGTACAAACATCTAAGTTATGAACAACCTGTGCTTATGAATGCATGGACTGCCACAAACCCTTTTTGAATATGAGCATCTCTCCGGAAACGCCATGACTCCTCTATGGAACTACACAACACGTCATGAGTGGCCATGTCGTTCCCTAAAGATACAATATTCAAGGTTTTTCATTCTGCGGTGCCCAAACCGTAGCCTCCAGTGGTATCCACCCCCTTCTCTAGCAGTACCATCAGGCCCCGGGTCTCCTACACCAGGTCCGTCTCCGCCATCAACAGTTCATGTGAGGCCCAATGTTACCCCAAGAATGCTCAAGACTGTTTTGAGAGCTGTTTCTTTTGTCCTTTACAAAACTGCATACCTAGACATACACAAACAGCTTGTCTCTTTCCCCCAAGTGCCATTATTGCAATGCTGTTTTGTGTTTAAGATGCTTTAGTGAATATGAAAGTGTTTAAGTGTTTCACATGCGCAGACAAGTAAAACATATTCATACACTAAAATATCTGGCTTACTCATGTGATCCGAATTCCACACAAATCTGACTCGAGGACATGCGCAGGAACAGAACTGGTCCATAACCTGGGGGCTACGTGTACTTTCAAAGCCAGCACCATCTCCTACTCCGCTTCCCCTCCGCCTGTGTAAGCTTTAAATGATGAGCTCTAGGCAGCTAAGTTGTCTGGGCCACAACTCTTTGCTGTTGGCTTTTCTTGGGCCTTCTGGGCTACTGCCTAAAGTTCTCTGTACCCAACTTGCTAAGAAAGCTTTTCTGAGACATCCTACAGCCAGTCTTGGAAAGCACAGTCCTGCACCTGTAGGCCGAGGAAGGCCACCGAATGCCCCCATTCCACCACCCCACGCCCCTTAGGGCCCCGCCCCTACCCCTTCAGCGTACATGTTCGTCATAATAATCCGCGCAGGGAGCTTGCGTTGCTAGCCCCTGCACCACCACTTAACTCAGCCATGCACCACCCCGAGCCCTCATCTGCCCAGTACGAGGGGCTCCCCACCTTCTGTGCAGGGTGCGAGTCAGACTTACCTACGCACGGCAAGCCCTCCCAGGAGCTTGTAACGAAGGGACTCCGCCTGGGCAATTGCACACAAGCCCCTCGTGGCCACCTTCTCGGCATAGAGCTGGAAGAGAAAGCCGCGTCTGTCTCTGTCCTCAGCACATGCCGGGATGGCAATGAGCTCAGAGTGCTGACTGGCTCCTTCTCACAAACCCACTAAAAATACTTACGTACCTCCAGAGGATTCACCACCGTGAGGGTCCTCTGGCAAGCCGCCTAAGGACTCGAGGGCTGTCCTCTATTCCACAGGCTGAGTTAAGACATCCCACACACGTGCTGTTTTCCAGCGAAGGGCCTGCTTAGGCCGTGCTTCAGACAGTCTCACGAAGGTGCTTTTTAAGCCAGAGGGGCCAAACTGGGAAGCCAACCTGGAGATCCACCATCCATACACTTCCCAGTATGGGCAAGTGCTGGTGGCATGGCCAGGCAGGGGACCCAGCCTGTTTGGCCTACACCTGGGAAAAGCATCCTTCCAGACATGCCCAGCACCAGGGGCAAGAGGACTGGGAATCTAACAGAAGAAATCAGTCAGGCTTGGTACACCGAGACTGGGCTTATATTCATGACTGCGCAGCACTAGCTCTCCTGCACCAGGTAAGAGGCCAGGAACCTCTGCCTTCTGTGTCATGTCCCCCTACTCAGAGGGGAACCAAGGCCCAGCTAATCAACTCTGTGCTAGCCCACATTCAAAGACCCTACTCATTTCATTCGTGCCATTTTCCTCACACTACAAATTACTAACATAAGCAAGAGTGTGCGGGCAGAGAAGAAAAAACCTAGAATATGTTTGTGGGCTGGTTTAGATCCACATTCCGGGATCCCTAGAAAAAAGACATGACTTTACTATTGGTAACTTTCATCCGTACAAATCTGTGACAAATCTTGGCTGTCCCTTCTCAGACAAATGCCTCTAGATCATCCAAAGAACAGGACACCTTTGCCAAAGCAGTAAGCGCAGTGCCACAGAACGTGGCTCCGAGCTGTCTACTCTGAGCAGGGAGGTGTCCGCTTCTGACTCGTCATCGGATCATCACTGAAGGGAACCTGAATACAAGAAGTGGAAACTGAAGCAACTGCTACCTCAACGCTTCCTTCGGGAAACCCAAAGCGCTTCTGGACAACAGCTGTCAGCTCCCGAATACGGCGTCCTTTCTCACCCAGAACATTCTGAGTTCTGCAAGGAAGAGCAAAGATAAGATACTGGGCATTTCTGTAAGGGTTGTTGGTCATGCATTTTATTCCTAGTAGTATAGATTGCATCTTGCCATCACTGAAATCATTTGGAGGGGGAGAACTACAGAGTCCCTTATCATGTGCAGAAGCAGCTTTTTTTGGTGCTAGAGAAAGGAACCCAGAAAAAGCAAGAGAAGGGGCATTTTGTTGTTGGACTAGGGAGCACTACAGCACTTCTGACTGGATCAGCGGGGGCTGTGACAACTCAAGAAGCACTCGGGAAGTGGCACTGCACACACACAAGATGTAAGCACCTCTCGGCACCCTACAGTCTGTTCACATCCACAGCAGAGTGCTGACTTCAGTGACTCTTGATCTCAAGTCAAGCCACCCTAAGTTGGTGTGCCACCAGTCTGTGGAGTCCCCGTATTTTCGCCAACAGGAATCCCCTTCAGAAGCCACTCTCCACACATTCAAAGAACTCATGCGAGGTTAGCATGCACCTCAGGGTCTCCATCTGCTAAGCCGCATGAGCAAGGAGGGCTCAGCATGTGTTCAACCTGGATGCATTTCAAATGGTCCTGATTAAGGAGGGTCCCCTTATCCAGAGAGGATTCTCACCACATTCAGCCAGCACCTGAAGCTGCCCCCTTCCAATCTTCCCACTCAAGATTCAAAAGTTGTGCTGGAGCCCAAAGGGACACTGCTTCCTCTTCACATGATCCTTGTATGCACGGTGGAATAAATCCTGAACTGAGCTGGGGCTGCACACCCACCACTCAGCAGACAGGCGAGTTACCTGGTTGCAAGGATTATGATTTCTGTCCTGGTTGGGGTAACTCGGACCTCCACCCCAGAGTAGCCATCTTCAGCCAGCTCCCGAGTCAGAAATTCATTCAGTTCTGCTTTGAAGATACCGTCCGCCACAAACTAAAAAGGCAAAATCAACTCATTAGAAGCTGGAAATTTAACCCAGGAAAGCCCTCGGCTCACAGAACCAAGTCTGAAAAACCAAGCAAAATAAACAAGCTCCCGCCTGCTGTGCCAGTCCCAGCTGATCCAAGGAATAAACTTTACACTGCAAGGCAGGAAGTCTGGGCCAAAGCTCTGTGACGTTCCACCCCGACACCGTCCCTTCACAAGGGGTCAGCCAGCAGCTCTTCCACACAGTTGCAAAGCCTCCGCACACAGGCAACACACTTTTCCACTTCAGTACCTATTTCCCTATCTGACCTGCTGCACAGAAAAGAAAAAAGCATCTGTGCCGTGGACAGGCCTCCCTCCGTTTTTGTGCAGGAACACAGAAATCCTATTTGTTCGGGTGAAGCTAAAAGCCAATTGTTTAGGAAGTGCTCTGAGGACCTGCTTGCTCCTGGCAGTTTCAAAATCTGGAGACCAGAAAGTTCACCTCAAACAGCAACAAATTTATCTATTGCAGGGACCTCCCTGCAAATGACCACCAGGAAGGTTTGAGAAGAACTTCTCACCTGGACAGCTAGAAATCCAAGTAAATCGGCAGATAAAGATCAAACATGCATTTAAAATATATATATGTAGCACAAGCAGCTAAAATAGGTATGTGTAGGCAAGCTAGTGACCTCTCTGGGCATATACATGTTTGCCCAGGGCATCCAAAAACACCTACTTCTTGCTATCACAAAAAAAGGGGGGGGGGGAGAGAAAACCTGCAATCGTACACAAACAAGGAAGAGGAACCCAATCCAACCAATGGATTGCTGAGGATGCAACTTCCTCTTCATTCTCAAGGCAAGAGAGCACCAAGTCTCCCCATATACCTGCCCAGTCTAACCTCGACCCAGACAGTAAGCACAAAGGTTCCAAGCAGATGACCCTAATCCCTGGAAAAAAATTCTTGCTACTATTAATCCATGCAAAACTTCCATACTTGCAACCTACAAAAAATATAAAATTTTTCCTTGCAAAAACATAGGATCCTCCCCCTTTCTTCTCCCCACACACCCCCAGGAATCGTATAAACAGGTCCTCTGGCATGTGCATCCCTTGCTTCTGCAAAGGTGAGAAATGCGACCCCTAAGCATTCTTGTTTCTGGCACAAGCCCTGGAAACCCCTTAACCAAATGCCAGAGCATTTCAAGCCACACAGCCTCAGAAGAGACAAGAAATCCTTTTCCCTATTCTTTTTCCTTATTAAGCAAAGCAATCCCTTACTTATTTAAAAAGAGAAACAACCTTCAAACTGAGATCTTGTGCTTTTTACTGTGCATGGAAGGTGTGAAGTTCACTCCTGCCACACCAAAGAGCATCCAACAGGCAGCTATTTCGCTGGCCATCTAAATGGTGCTGAGTGGGGAGGACTTGCCGGCCCTCACTCCACAGGATGCTTGCAGCTCCCCAAAAATACCCTTTCCCGAACCTTTATGAACCGGGCCACAGAACACCTGGGCTGGATCCAGTCGAGGCCCGTTTAGTCCCTCATTCTGTTCACAGTGGCCACCCAGCTGCCCACGTGGAACCACAAGCAGGATGCGAGTGCTGAATCCCCTCCTACCAGGGCTCCCAGTAACCGGTCCACACGTACTGGAGGGTGCACGAAGCCAGCCAGAACTTTCCCCCTCTGTGGACTCGTGCAATCCTTCTTTACAAAGCCCTGTAATGCACAGTCCCATCTCCAGAGACTGCCCTGAGACCCTCAAACCACACACGGGTAAGCCTCTGAGTTGCCCTTCGCCATAACGACGCGGCAAGTCAGGGGTGGGGGAGAGAGGCAACGTGAGCGCGGCCCCTTCGACGCCAGCCAAAGTTCAGGCCGCACAGCTGCCCGGAGAGCCCCCAAGTGGCCATGCAAGAGCGCCTCTGTGCATGCATTGGCACTCTTTCCGCTCGTTCCCAGCAACATGGACATAAAATGCAGCCAGCTCGCCTAGCGGTCAGAGCACCACTGGCTTTCAGGCTACACGCAGGCGTGCAGGAGGCAGGCAAGGAAGCGCTGGCCAGGATGGGCCCTGCCCTGATCCGGCTGCGGCTGCTCGGCACCTTCCGAGGAAGGCGGCCTTCTTCCTCACAGAAGCCCCCTGTACTTCGGAGCGCCCCCCGCCCCCGGGAGTCCTATCCATCCGCTCCAGCAGCCCGGTGGGCGCCAGCCCGGCGCCATGTTGCTCCAGCAAGGCCCCGCCGGCGGCCGGGGACCGGCCCGCATCCACGTCCATCCGCCCGTCTCGCCTCCCCGGCAGCCCGCCGCGCCGCCCCAGCCGCCCCACTCGGCCTGCAGCGGCCCGTCCAGGAAGCATTTCGCCGCCCGCGGCGCCCCTCACCGCGGACGCGGCTCCGCAACAGCCCCCATCGCTCACCTTTCGCTTCTTGGAGATCTGCACCGCCATCTTGAGCCGCGCCGCCCGGGAGAAAAAGAGGCCGCTTCCGCCACCGCAGAGGATTATAGGAGCGTGCTGCCGCTTGCCATTGGGTTGTGGTGCTCACGTGAGGATGAAGGCATGCTGGGAAACGTAGTCGGCGTCTTCTTGAGGCGTGCACGGGGAGAGGGAAAAGAAAAAGAGAATCATTGCGTCTTTCGAGACTTCTCATTGGCCGCTGTGGAGCATCTGTGGCGCGCAAGGGCCTCCTGGGAAATGTAGTTTTTTCTTCCTAAATTTAGTTAGGACTATCTAGGGATTAGTTAGAGAAAGGATTAGGCAATGTAATGTGCGCTACTGTTCAGTCAGGACAAAATAGGATTGATCGATTGGAGAGGAAGTGTGGCATAATGGTTAGCACGCTGGACTGGGTCCTGGTGATCTGGTTTCTAGTTCCCACTCAGCCATGAACGTCCTTGGGTGAAATTGGCCCCAGCCTAACCTACCTCACAGGGTTGTTGTGAGGCGAAGGAGGATAATGTTCCTTTAGCCTGTTTGTGAGATTCCATTGGCCTCTGATTAGCCGCCACCCAAAACCGGTGGCCCAGATGGCCTGATACAAGATGGCAGATCTTATAATTTCTGTCTCAAGCAGAGTTAGAGGCACCGTATAAGCCCTGCTTTCCAGCTAGCTCCACGGGCCGCTTGGCCATGCAGAGAAGCACCTTCCTGTTTCCTGCAGGTCTTCTTGGGAGCTACCGCTTTGGTGGCGACGGTCACTGCTGTGTGTTCATGTAACATTTTATTAACATGTTGGCTAGTGCAGCCTTCCCCAAACTGGAGCCCTCCAGGTTTTTTTAGACTTCAACTCTTATCAGCCTCAGGCAGCATGGCAACAGTCAGGAAAATCAGGGATCCAAAACATCTGGACGCTACCCCTTTGGGGGAGGCCAACCTTTGCTGTTCGTTCAAAGATGGCAGGTTGTAACACTGACATTACCACCACGCTAGAAACTATATGGTTAAAAAAAACCCCAAAACCCTAAGAAAGGCCATATAGAAGGAAATGAAAAGTGAAAGAAAGAGCAGTTAACTAGCTGTGCTGTAAGACCACTGAATTTTTTCCTCTTACCTCCTCCTTCCTTTTCCTTGGGTGTGGTGTATTTGTAGATCAGAAACCTGCAGACCCGGACTAGACCAGGAGGAGCATAAAAGCAGTTTAAATAAACACTCACACACACGTTTGGGCTGATGGCATCAGGATCCGAAAAGGCTGACATCCTCTGGCTAAGCCAATGAGTTGTAAGCAAGGAAATGTTGCAGAGCCTAAATATTGTAATTATTGCATTGCGCTGAACTCCTGCCATTTTCCTTTGTGAGGAACCTATGGCAGCTTACACAGGTCTCCTCTGCTCCATTTTTATCCTCACAACAACACCCCTGTGAGGTAGGTTAGACTGAGAATCCATGAGTGGCCCAAGGTCACCCAGGGAGCTTTGTGGTTGGGTGAGGACTTGAACCCAGCTCTCCCAGGTCC